GGCCAACCCCCCAGCCCCGCCCCACCCCCACACAAGGTCTCCGTCTCTGCAGGAAGGGTAGAGACCAGTCCTGAAGCACGGTGCTCGGTGAGAAGGGTAACTACCCCTTATCCAAAAAGCCAAAGGGAACCCAAGGGAAACACTCTCAAAAGGCGGAGAATCAGGCATTTCAAGTGACCTAGAGTTGAAGGTGCTACACTCCTGCACGCGACCTCGAGAGTCCAAATGTCAGCCAGAGCGGAAAGAGCGTCGGACTCATCTTTCCGCTCCCTCGGTCGGCAAGGGGCTTTGAGGTAAAAAAGGAGGCCCAGGCCCAACTGAAACTCCAAACCCGGAGACAGGGGCACCCGCGAGGCTTCCGCCCGCAGGAGGAAATCTGCCAGGATGCCCTTCCCCCTCCACCAGCCAAGTCTTTCTTCCTCTCGGGAACTGGAAGTTTCTTAAAGCGTGCATTTCATTTATGACGTCACAGTTAGTTAACGATGCACTTTACTTTTTTTAAACAGAAATTTCCAAACCTCCGTAAACCATTTGATTTTGAATCAAACATTTGGAATTGGGAAGGGGGAGGGGAGAGGATGTTTTTGGCGTCGTGGGCCAACTTTAACTCCACTCTGTCTGGGTCTTTACGGATCTCAACTTGTAATTCCCCTTGTAATATTAGTCCCCAAAAAACATTTTTTAGGGGGAGCGCCTCGCCTGAAGGTCTCATTTTCGCCATCTGTAAAAGTGGACCTAGAGTTCCTTGGCTGAGGTTCTTCGGGCTTCATTTGTTGGTGGTGTGTGAAGGGGACCTTTTGGGGGAGGAGGAAGTCAGTGAAGAGGCCTGTTTGCACCACGCTTTTGTCTCGCTTTGTAGAAGCGAGTCCCTTTGTAAAACAATGCTGCGCCGCACTGCCTAATGGATTTTGGCAGGGCCGGGGTTTTGATTTCCCCCCACCCAGGAGCGACGAAAGAAAGGGGATGTTTCCAAGCCCTGTGAGTCCCGCGTGGCGCTTGTTTGCTCAGCAGCGAGCTCCAAAATACGCCCAAACGCGGTGCACGCCGGCCGGGCGCGCTCTCCTCCCCCGCCCGGGGCAGCTGTTCGCATTTTGTTCCCGTCTCCGCTCCCCTCCCCTGCCCAGTCCCGCGTATTCCTTTAACGCCTGCCGCTGATTGCATCCCTGCTGCCCTTAGTGTAGGATGGGCACTTCTCTTCAGCCTGCAAATGAGAAGTGACATCTGCACTCGGCTCAGCCAACGCGTGAGCAAAGCGCGGGGACACAGGCCCATTGACCGAGCGCGGCGCAGAGGCCGGCAGGCTCGGCGGCATCCCAAGCTGCCTTAATTAATACCATCTTAAATAGTCCAGCAGCCACCGAAGACAAAGTGGAAGAAAGACTTTAAGGCTGAGTGCCCCCTCGACAAGCTCTTTTTCCTCCATGTCATTCAATATTTAATGCGCCCGCTTGTAATGCTACTACTGGTGTTCCTTTCTAAGCAAGGACATTATTTTTTCACGGTGCCCATAGCCAGGGAAAGCCCTTTAGGCAAAGAAAATCAAAATGTTTGTTGTTTTGGATGACTTATAACTCTTGTTTAACACAAGCACTTTCAGGGAAGTATAACAGGCGCAGCCTCCAAAAGCAAACAACACAGTCCTTGTGACACAGTCGGACACAAAAAGCACATTGTCTTGCGGACTACCCTTTTCTCTGGTGCTAGATGGGGGCCTGTCTCCCAGTGAACACCACGATGCCATTTCACTTTTGAACTATTGTTTTTGAGTTATGCCATGTGGTCAAAAGGAGCGAGAACGGGGTTGTTTTCCAGGCTCCTAAGACAAACGAGTTGCCTTTTCAATGAAATCCCCCCGCGATCCTTGAAAACGGAGTTTAAATGTCACCTCCGCCTTTCTAATGGGCACAGGGCTGGAGGCGACCCTTCAAAGCGCCTTGGTGATAAACGACCCTTATTAAATATGGTCCGGGCTGCTGGGAAAGTCCTGCGCCCGGCCTGCGCGCTCCAGAGCGCCCCTCTCTGGAGGCCCGAGCCTCGGCGGCCCCGCGCAGGTCCAAGCGCAGGCCCAAGCGCAGGCCCAGCTCGCGCGGGACCCAGAGGGTGCAGAGATGGGGAGCTCGAGCGAGGGGCCCAGTTGTAATACAACTTCTTATCTGCCGCTCCCACCAGGCCCGTGCGCCCCATCCCCAGAGACTCGGCGTGAAAGCTTGGTGCATTTCCCCCTGACTTCTTTTTGTCCGTTGTCGAGTGGCGTCTGCAAGTCTGAGCTGCAAAGTTACTGATTTGCAAGCTGCATGTTAAGGCAGCCCATGTAAGTAATTTCTCCGGGCACCCCAGCAAAGGAGAACAAATCGCTGACAAAGGCGAGCGCTTTCGATTCAGCGGCGTCGTTAAGGCAACCCCAAAGTATTCCTCCTATAATAAGTTCCACTTCAAAGGGTTTCTCATTCAGCGGTGACTGCTTCGAACTTTTATTAAGTCCGGGCTTTTTCACTTGGAGGAATCATCTGTTTGGTTATTTTTCATCGTGTTTATTTTTCACCATTCACACAGTACTTGTATTAAATAAACAAAGAACAATCGCTCTGCAAATAAAAGTACTTAGGTGGGGAGAGAAGGAAGAGGAACTGGGGCTCTGGCGCCCTTCCCCTCCCCCCTCCACATTACCTACCCCACCCCCACTCAGCTTTCTTTTCCTCCTGTCTTCATTCTTTTTCCTTTCTGTAGAACCAGGAGGTTCTAAGAGAGAACCAGGGGCAAAAAAGTGACTGTAAATGTGAATACATACATATACATATATATGTATATACATATGTTTTTCTGATGTGAAAATTGACTGAACTAACTTGGCAAGAAGGGAAAGGTCACTGCAACTGTATCTTAATAGAGTGTCTCCAATGGTGGTGGACCTGCTGCCAGAGGCTCCCCTGGCCCTGCCCATTGCCATAGCAATCCTGAAGCTCTGCATGGATGTCCTAAAAAAGCAGTAGTTTGAATTTCAAAGAACATGCCTTTGAACTTCTCCCTGCCTGATTAGGCCATGGGTTGTAAGTGAATGTGTGCTCAGGAGTGTTTGTGAGTGGGTGTGGGGGCCAGTGTTTCTGGGAGGTTTTGCTCAGGGAGAGGGAGGGCTTTCACCATGGGCCTCCTCCATCATCACTCCAGACCTGGAAGTTTTCCATGGTCATGTGTCCTGTTTTGGTACCCTACAGATGGATAGGCAGGCAGGTAGGGCTGTGACAGGATGCAAGTATTCATAAGCATCTGGATTGTTTTGTTTGTTTTGTGATCAGCCTTGCTTTGCTCTGATTTAAGGTGCTCACTTGGGAAAACAGATCGTCTTGCCACCCCCTTCTCCAGATGTTATATTTCCTAACCAAAGTGGGATTTTTTAAGAAAAATCATTTCGTAGCACAGACAGATTAATACTACAATGGCCTCCCAAAGCTTCCACAAAATGGAAGACATCAGTTATGAGAACACAGTAAAAATATGACATCTGCAGAGGGCTAGGCCCAGCTCTTTGGTTCAGGCCCCTTTTTTCTTCAGGTCCTGAATGCGATGACACTTGTGTGCCCATCTCCAACTCAAGAGAATGTAATTCCCATCGAGCTCTTTCTAGCTATATTAGGTTTTAGGAATATTAGCTTTACGAAAGAGCATCCAAATGGGGAAAATAGAACTACAAATAATCAGATATTTGGAGATTCTCCTGCCTGGAAAACAAAGGTAGATGATTTAAAGGGGCCTGCAAGGGCCACGTTTTGCCCAGGGAAGATGAAGTCTTTGATGATAGCCAACTTAGTGTCAATAAGTGGCTTTCTTTGAGACATATTCAGATGGGAACATCTTGCTTGCCAATTGCCATAGAAATCTTAACACACCATGAAGATTGTCCAAGCGCCAAGCCTTCCGTTCTGGACTAAATTACTTTGAAGTGGCGCAGGACGAGCAGTGGTCAATTTTAACTCTATAGACTGGACAGAGAACACTGGGAGTGGGAGATTGTGCGTTTTAAAGCAGAAAATAAGAAGGGGAAACGTGTTTTATACATTCTATACAAGCTTCTGCTCATTGTCGGATATCTTTTATCTTTTATATTTCCCATGAATGATTCATGTCTTGGTGGCTTTGTGTCACCCTTCTTTTCACAAGAAACTTCATTAGAGAGCTATAAGTTTTCCCATTGATTGGAGCCCCATTTATGACTGTTTTTCTCCCTCGTGTGCTGGTTATTGTCATCTGGTTTAAAACAACTCTTGGCAACCTGTTTCACCTTTATTACATTTAACAAATCTGACTTTCAAAAGTCACTCTAACCTTTTAGAGAAATGCTTACTGACATTACTACCAATTGTTTTTAACTACTTGGTTTTTATCAGTTTTGTATTAGGTAGCATAAAAACAAGCAAACACCAACCAACCTTGTTAATGTACATGGCCAAATACACTCATTTCAGCCACCTGAATATTTTGTTGCCATGAGGGAATCTAATCTCTCCTTCATACCTGGCCCAAAATGTTGAGCTTAAATGACTCTTGTCTATGTAACTTTCAAAATAAGCTAAATTATACTTGATCTCTCCCTGATATATTAGAGAATTTTTTGACTACTACTCAATTTCATTCCACACCCACATCAGCTTCTCAACAGTTTTGCTTTTTACCTTTCATTAGCTTTTTCCTCTTCCTTTGGAGGTCAGGAACCAAACAGAGCTAAAATCACTCTTCAGTTGTTCATTGATTAGAATCACTAAGTATATTCCCAATCTCAACAAATGAGTGCAATAAACCCTGAGACTTGTGTTACTACCAGTGCAAACTGCATGGATTAGACTTCATAAATATCTTGAATTTTCTAAATTAAACTGTAAGCTAAACCAAGCTGTAAAAATATTTTATTGCTTGAAGAGAGGCTAAAAGATCAAGGGATGTCAACCTAATGTTCATTACCTTAGCAACTGTTCTGTATTAAAGAATGACAGCGATATGCCAGTAGGTAAAATGTAACAATACATAGGAAGAATACCTTTATTACATTTTTACTTCATAGTCACTCTTGCTTTCTTTCTATTGGAGGTACACAGCTTTCATTTCAGGTGAATGAGAAACCAGTAAATCTGTAGCAGAACCTATGCATGGCAAAATACATAAAATACATATTCTTTTGTTTTGTAATAAATAAACCTGTAGCATAATAAAGAATAGTGCAACTACCATTGAAAAAGTTGTATAAATAAAACAACTCATTATACATCAGGAATATTTTGTCCTAATAAGTTTACGATACATAAATTATCCCCCCCAATTCATACCATATCTTTTGTACTTGAAAGGACTTTGAAGGTAAATATGAAAATCAAATAAACTTTAAAACTGTAGAATTATTTTATATTCAAGTTTTATGGTCTTTTTCTTTATAAAGGAGGGTCTGCAGGCTTCATATTTACTATAACAATCTGAAGACAACATTGAGGGCTTCCCAAATGACAGCACCATGCACTGTACTAGTAATATATCTATAAACTATATATATCTCATCAACACAATGCAAGAAGGACATGCAGGAAGAGTCTTGGTTTTCACATTACACTTTCATTCAAGTAAGCTTAAAAATATATTTTTCCATTTTCTTTCCCCTATTTTTTTAAAATAAACCAAGGAACCCTAAATGACAACCTTTCACCAAAATGTATTATATAATTCTTTGGTGTGCTCTGAACTCTTCCAGGGGTGCGGGCAGAGGGGGGAAGGATGATGTCTGAAAATAAATTAATTCAACTGTACAAATAAAAGTGTTCACATACAAGTTATTAACAATGACAAGACTACATCAACCACTCACGGCACACAGAACAAATTTCTACAAGCCCTGGGGAGGGGGTGTCTTCAGGGTCTCCGAGGATAAATTAGTGCTCTTTAGTATATTTGTATGATGTTTCTGATGGACCACATTCTGCACAGGAAATGTGTTGTACCAAGTGAAAATAAATTGACTAAGAGTTATTGTCCTAGGTCCTTGACCTTTTTTATCCTAGCTTGACAGCTCTGGCAAAGGTCACACACTCTTCAGTGTTTGGTAGTAACTATAAACCTTTTAAAAATTTTAATATGTATAGCAACTCACTCCCCCCTTTTAATGTAAATCATATTCTTCACACTGTCATTTTCAGATGGAAGAGTTTGTTGTGCTCGGTGCTCAGGTGGAAGAAAATACACTAAAATGCAGTTTCAGGCATTAAAAAATAAAGACTTTTCTAAAAAAAGGTTGACACAATAGTATAAAAGAGTTGGCCTGCTTTAAAAACAACAGCTTTCCAAAAAAAAAATAGGCACAATGCCATCATCACACCTCCTCAGACTTGACGGTGAATGTTGGCATTCCAAAGATTAAACTTATGATTAAAAACATAATCTCTTTATTACACAAGAAGTTTGGACACCATAAGGAGGCAGCATCTAAGATTTCAGATTAAAGGAAAAAAATAACAAAGAGGAAAAAGCGCTTGAATTTCCTGTTTTATAAAAGATCACAGTTTCACAGTTGCTTGTTGCAGCAGCTTTTCTTTCTCTCCATTTTTGCTTGAACAATCACAGTAGCATCATACATGGAGATATTAAGGTTGCTGCACTTAAAAAAAAAATCACAGAAGGGTCCTAAAGAAATAATCCTGTATAAAAATAGTGCGATAAGGTGAAATCAGTAATAAAAGTATGGAAATTAAAAACCATAAATATTAGAACTTAAGGGGTTTTTACAAATACTTTTGGACACAGGCAGGGTCCAGGGAGCTGTTGGCAGTGCAGCAAGTGTGTGGTTTACAATCAAGAAGCCTTTGCAGAATTAGGGCCCAACGAGGAGGCTCAAAAGCAGCCCACATGATGGTGTCAAAGGCATTGAAGAGGCACTCTGGGAAGCAGAGGGCCTTGTCACTCTAAGAAATTTTGACATAATGCTCTTCTTCTCCACCATTAAAAATATAAATATATGTACACATACACATTTTTATCGGCAGTGTGTATGCTGATTAAGTAATCTCTCCATTCATTTCCCTTGGTACGATTTGCCCCCAGCATTGTCCCCCTGCAATGTACAAGTCCAGCTTGGTTGGGTCTTTTTTTTTGTTTCAGAAAAAGGAAAAAAAGCCCGAATATCTTAATTAAATTAATTAAATGTACAAACACCATAGGGTTTCATACTGAATAAATAGGGCTAATTAGACCAGTGGCAAGTCTGAGTCATGCGTTCATCTCAGGCTCGGCATTGTCTCAGGTTAGGAGAGGGTCCAAGGACTCCCACTTATTATTTCATCTGTTAATAATAATAAATTCTAATGTATCGTCCGCACAACTTCAGGGTTCCCGTACATTTCCTCATCTTCAGACTCAGAGGTGGTTCCGTTGCTGGAAGGTGTGTGGAGGTGGCTGGGGGCTCCACCAGCCTGGCAAACATACCACTCATTGAGGTTGGTCACCTGAGGGGACAGAGTGCTGGAACGACTCCTGGCTGGGTCCAGCACTGGGGACAAGGGGGCACCCACCGGAGTCCCCACTGCTGAATAACCAAAGGCTCCTGGAGAAGGTGGGGGAGACTTGCAGTGAATCTTCATGTGCTTCCTCAGAGAGCTCGGGTGAGTGTAAGATTTGTCGCAGCCTCTGATCTTGCAGTAATAGGGTTTGTCACTGGTGTGGACATGAGAATGTTTCTTTCGATCACTGCTATTGGCAAACTTCCTATCACAGCCATCAAATTCACATTTGAAAGGCTTTTCTCCTGCAATGAAACACAGGAAAGGTTAACAGTGGCTTTCCACCTCTCACTTGAGAGAAATCTTGGAGCAGAACTGGGGGGGTTGCATTTTCCCATTCTCCCAATGACCAACACCCAGCCATGTTCCTAATCCCAATTCTTATATTCCAGGATGCAAAGAGGAAAAGCTCCCATTAAGTAAGGACCTCCACTGGTCTGGAGGCTTGGTTTGGACCTGGACTGTGAGAGGCGAGGTGTCAAGTCAGTCACTGTAGCACCCAAGAGGTCATGGTGAGGTCCTCAGGGCTAAAGTCCAAGATGTACCACTAAAGCCCACCAGGCACTCACTCCCAGACTGACTCCTCACTTCCCTCAGGATCTGAACATCCAAAACCTAAGTAGAAGATCCCCTGTCACAACTGACCTTAATGATACTTCCAAAGCTACAAATGGGGATGACAATAGAAGAAAAATAAACACATACCCTAAATGAAAAGTTAGCTGGGTGTGCAGAAAAATGATAATGATATTTTGTTTCAGAGTGTACCCAGTGTTTCATTGCTGGGAAGGGGCAGCAAGACAGGATGTGGAGCTGGGAAAGGAAAGAAAATAAACCAAAGGCTCCTCTGTAGAAATAAAGGCACCTGTGAAATACACAATCGCTCAGTAAGATTTTACAAGGCTGGCTTGACACAGAATAGACTTTTGGCCTCTGCATTCTACCAGCTTCCTCTACAACATGGGAAGTAAAGACCACAGCAAGGAAGGTAAGGAACAGACAAGGAACCACAATCTCAGCAAACCAGCCATTCACCTACTGTCCTAAGCAAATGTCTAACAGCACTTTCCATTGCTTGGCAATCAAAAACACTTCTGCAAAAACATAGGGTCTCTTGGCCTATCACTCCTTTAAGCTGTTCTAACTACCTCAGGAACACAATGCCTTAAATACAAGACTACTAGTCCAAGAAGGGGAAATGTTTAATCAGACAACTGGAGATTCAATCACAATGCACCTGGTGTTAAAAGGCAGCAGGGAAAGGAAGCAGTAACAGTAAATGGTACCTGAGTTTTTCCCCTAGCACCTCAGGATCTATGAATTTGAAGTGTTTCAATCATAATTGAACAAGTCGCCTCATGCATATTATTATAAATAACATTTTCCTCACATTTTGAGAATTTTAAAATAATAGCAGCTATTAGGGTGACATACCACATTGGGAAATTTCTTTTTTTGGATAGCTTACTTTTCAAAAGAAACTATTATGAGTCAGCTTGATGTACTTAAATTTCTGTGTCAAGTTTTCTCACCCAACACGTTTTTCAGTTTGTATTAATTTTTTTTCCAGTGTGTGCATTTAATCTTTCACCAATAACGACTGCTTCAGTGTCCGAGCACATTAGCACATTTGAAAGTACCCAGATCCCTGGAATATACCTTTCTCCTACCTAGAAATATTGTTTGAAAATGAAAAGACATCACTCAAGTACACCTCCACATTAATGTTACAGATAGAAGGAAAACAGAACTTACAAAGATAATCACAATTCTTAAAAATTTTTTAGAATTGACCTGCCACCAAAGTAAATCCTTTTCTACCAAAACATTAGTGATTTGTCCTGTTTCCCATACTACATTCTAAATTGGTGATAATACTAATTTAACATAGCACTCTTGCTTTAAAACATTATAACAGCTCTTCAATATGGAGGCTTAGTGGTTTTATTCACTCTATGCAAATGTGTAACGTTACTTGAAATTTTCATGCCTCGGCCCAACCCACATAACCCGGATTGTAAAAAATCCCCACCCTGAACATTACTGGTTGCTCCACAGCATGTGAGAAGCAATAAAAGCCAGTTAAGGGAATAGAGGAGAAGGAAACAAAGGTGGAAATTAGGGATAAAGGAAAGATGGCTGGAAAGAGAAAAAAATAAGAGTGATCGAATAGCCTATGTTTAGAGGACTACAGGAGCACCAAGCAGATTCCATCTGACTAGGAAGGCCAAGAGACCCCAGTGTTTACATTTCAGATTCTGTCAGAGGGGTCATGTCAGAATTTAACTATGCAGAGAGTTCTAAGACTTGGTGGGAAAGTAAGGGAAAGTGCTGTGTGTGAATAGTCCAGGTCCTGCCAGCTCTTTCTGCTACAGTTGGGCCTAGAGGCAGGTTATAAATGCAATTGAGGGCACTTGGGTCAGGGACCAGGGCCTTCAGGAGTGGCCTGGAGATTAGTACCTTTGATCACTCTGTTTTGGGATCCTGGTTGACCCATAAAAGGGAGAGCCTCCTGGTAGGGAAGAAAAGGGAAGAGCAGAATGGTTCCCCTCTGGACACAATGCCCAGTTGCTAAGCAGCCCCGGGGTGGCCAAAACACCAGGCACTGTGCTTCAGCTGGTCTGGGAGATGCTGTCCTCCCTCCAAGAGAAACTTGCCTGACTGACCTGGCAGAACCCAAGCTGCCATCAGGAGGAAAGGAAATGTAGCCACCCAGGCAACGTGGACCAGAAAACAAATAGGCCTCAGGACCCATGGGCACCCAGGGTCTTTAGCTCCCTACCCTATCACCCCATCCCCACCCTGCGGCATGAGAGCCCACTGCCAGGCTGCTGTTCGGCGTGGCCATGGCCTGTCCCTCTGGGCCCTGAGAGCCAGGACCCGAAAAAGGGAGGCCTACTCTTATCCAGAGGCCTGGGAAAGCGGCAAAGTCCTAAGGTCCATGCACCACCCCTTTGGGGACTGAGGGGGCAGCTTCATTGTCCCTTGTCCTCACTCCACAAGTAAGTGCTGGCTGGGCTCAAGAAGCAAGCAGCTGGTTCAGCCAGCCAGGTTTTTTTTGTTTTTTTTTTTTTTTTTATGAGAGCCTGGTGGTAAGTTTGCTTTTGGAAAAATCATTAAAGCGGATTGATCTCGATTAGGGGAAAAAATGGGGGCTAAGGGAAAACTTGCTCCCAGCCCCAGTCCTCTCTGGGCCCACAGGGGAGGTGTGGGTTGTCCGCCCAAGGGGAAAGGCCTGGGGCACCAGCCTAAGGCCACCCGGGCGCAGCTGCCGGCTCTGCAGTCCCCCAACGCCCCTGGCAGGCCGGCCGCAGGCCCACCATCAGGGCCCATGCTCCGGGCTTCCTCCTTGCCGCAGCCGCGCCGATAAATCAACCAAGTGATTAGTGAACGTAAACTCCGGTTACTTAAGCGTCCTCGGAGGGATAATATTGTCTGTCTCTATAAATCCTGGCTACGCTCACGCTCAGCAGAGCTCGTGCCGACACGCTCGTCGCTTCCAAGCATGCGGGGGCCATCCGAATGCCCCACGCTGCAGCCCCCCTTCATGCTACCTTCAAAGGCAGTGACTCGAGGGGGTGGGTTGGGTGGGTTCCCCACGACTCTGGGGACTCCCGTCCAGTTCGGCGGCGGGGTAGGTCTCACTGATCGCAGAGGACACCTCTTCCTTCACCTAGAACCTCTCCCTACTTTTGACAGGAATTGGGCTGGGGGTATAGCTGGGATAAGCGGTGTGTCTTGGGTACAACCCCCAGCAGTGCAAAGAAAAAAAGTCAACTTCTCCAGCACCTAGCACTCTAGTGTGGGATGAGTGTGTGAGGGTGGTGTGTGACAGCGCGAGTGAACTGAGTGTGCAAATGAAGGGAATGTACGTGTGGAACAAGAATCGAGGGCATGCAGTGTCGCAGGAATGGGCTGGTTGTGGATGCGGACAGGAATGAGTGCACTGGTGTGAAGTGCGTGCACATGGACATTGTGAGTGGGGTGGGCGAGTGCACCGGCGTATAGGAGAGCAGGGCGGTCTCTGGGGACCGAGGGCGCGCTCCTCTCGCCATCTTCATCCCGCCTTGGGAGGCGAAGGGTCCCCTCCACCCCGAGGGAGTCACACCAAGCAGGCCCAGTGCCGCAGCAAATCCCACGCGTGGTTCCCAAAGCGCGCGGCCTGTGACTCGTGGGGGGGGCAGGAGAGGCAGGGGGACGACCAGGCCCCGGCCCCCCCTTGCGCGTGGCCCTCCCCGGGCTCCGGGGGCCGGGCGCGTGGGGGGCTGCCGACAGTCCTGGGCGCCTTCCTGCGGCTCTGTCTGCGGTCGCTTCTGCTCCGGGCGGCGGCGGCGGCTGAAGCGCGTGGCCGGTCCCGGCGGAGGCTGCGGGCGCGCTGGAGACTCCGCGGTGCGCGAAGCCGGCGCAGGGCCTGTGTGTGCTATCGAATTACTTATTCGTAGAAGAAAAGAGGGGGAGAGAAAAAAAAAGAAGTCACATGTCCAGGCTATACGACTGTAAGGAGAAGCAACAGAAGGAGGGAAAAATGAAAGCGAGCAGGAGAAGCGGCGGCGGCAGAAGCGGCGCTGGCGGCGGCGGCCGGGGACAGACACCCACCTGTATGAGTGCGCTTGTGGATCTTGAGGTTCTCGGAGCGCGCGAAGACCTTCCCGCAGCCCGGGAAGGGGCAGGGAAAGGGCTTCTCGCCGGTGTGCACGCGGATGTGGTTGATGAGCTTGTACTTGGCCTTGAAGGGCTTCCCCTCGCGCGGGCAGTCCTCCCAAAAGCAGACGTGGCTGCTCTGCTCGGGGCCACCCACGTGCTCCACCGTGACGTGGTTCACCAGCTCGTGCATGGTGCCGAAAGTTTTGGAGCAGGGCTTGGCGCAGCCGGCGGGGGCCGGGGACGGTGGTGGCGGCGGCCCGGCCAGCTCGTCCGGGTCGATCCACTTGCAGATGAGCTCCTGCTTGATTGGCTGCCGCATGTAGCGCAGGAAGGCCCCGGCCGCCCCTGGGAGGTGGGGGTGGTGCGGAGGTTGCGCGGGCGCCGGTGGCGGAGCCGGGGGCGGCGCGTGGTGCTGCTGCAGGTGGGGCCCGGGCCCCGAGGCCGCGGCCGCAGCCAGGTTCAGGTTTAAGTTCACGGCTCCGTAGCTGTGCAGGGCAGCGGCAGCCGCGGCCGCCACCGCCCCGTAGTGCGCGTCCCCAGAGCGCGGGGCGAAGGGTGGCTCGGCGCGGCCGTACAGCTCGGCCGCCGCAGCTGCAGCGGCTGCCGCCAACCCCAGGCGCATCTGGCCGTTTAGCGTGTGCGGGTGGCCACCGGGAGCCCCCGGCGCGTCGTGCAGCGCGGGGAAGAGCGCGGGGCCGCCGCCGCCGTCCGCGCCCGCGTAGGTGCCGCTGGCAGAGATGAACATACTGGCCGGGTGGGGAGGCGGGGCCGGGTGCTGGGGGGAGCCGGTGCCTGACCGCTGCTCCCCTCCGAGCGGGGCCCCGTGCATGGCCGCCGCGGGGGCCGTGGCGGAAAGGTCCCTCCGGAGGACGAAGTCCCTGCTGTGGCCTTTGCCGCTGCTGCCGCCGCCGCCACTGTTGGTGGTGTTGTAGCCCGAGAGGGCAGGAGGAGGAGGAGAAGGCGGGGGAGGGGAAGGGGGAGGGGGTTGAGGGGAGGGAGGAAGAGGTGGGGCTGGGGGCGGGGGCGCGGAGGGCTGTGCGCCACAGCTGCCCCAGCCACCGGGGTGGGTGCCGGAGCCGGGGTGCGCGGCCGCGGCTGCAGCGCGCACGGCGGCCGCCAGAGCCTCCGGCTGTGCGGGTAGCGCCTGAACGGGAGGGCTGTGGCCCGGCACGCTGGCTTGGGCCATCTGCTCAAGTCCGAGCATAGGGATGGCCACGCCGGGGTCAGCGCCCGGGTCCCGCGAGTGGAGGAGATACGCGGCGGCTGCGCAGAGTTGGAAATGAGCGGGCGGGCAGGCCAGTAACGGGAAGCCTGTCATGGTCTGGAGCGGCTGGCCCTGAGCCGTTGCCAAATCCGCTAATCTCAGCGCTGGCGAGTTCCTCTTGCTCAAAGGGGACTCCATTAGAACTACACAATCAGGCCCATAAAGTCCCCCCTCACTGGGGGGACCTTTTTACCTCTGCTCGCTTTCAAAAACATGTATATGTGAGGTGCTCTTTAACTTCTTTTGTCCTGGTCTTCCCAACTCTGCTTATTCCTATTCCCACTCTGTCCTCCAGCGATTGGCAGAGTGAACGCCACATCTGAGCTGCACAGTGGGACCTAGATTTTGGAAATCGTACGGGTGGGATTGGAGGGAACCGCATGATTGGCAGCAACCTCGGCTGTCCGATTGGCTCCCGTTCAGAGCCTCGGCCCAGCGGGGAACCGCCTCCGTGCTCGCGACCGCCTGCGCTTCTCCTTCGCGCCCCTCCTCCCCGGAGCCCCGCGTCCCCGCCTCCCGGGGGATGCCGGAGTTGCACTTGCAGAAAGTTTGGCTTGACTTGCGCGCGCAGCACCTTGCGCTCTGTTGACGCGCAGCTGGAGTGCGCGCTCCAGTGCACGGTCTCGCTGCTTCTGGAGACTAGGACAACCGGGACCTCCAAGGAGCAAAAGGCGGAGTAAGAACGTGCAACTTCAAAAACCACCGCCTCATTGCACCCACTACGTGCCTCTCAGCACCCAAGCATCCTTTACCTCCTTCTCTCTTGGAAAACCCTGTGCTGCTCTCTAAGGAGAGTGAACATCCCGGTCGTCTTACCTGTACTGGTGATGCCAGAAACTCTTTATTTGGACTCACAGTCTGCCCAGCGCCCACCTAGGGTGCAGAGAGGAGATGGAATGAGGAAGAGTTATTAAAGTCTGTTGTTTGCAAAGCAACTTGTGTAATTTGGCTCCGCAAAAAACAGGTGAAGTCAAAATAAATCTTTTCCCTGAGGAACCATTTTACTTCGACTTTTTAGCTCATGGAGTTTCTTTCAACATGGTTCAAAGGAGTTGCCAAGAAGTGTAATCTCACAACTCATCGGTTCTAGAGCTGCCACTTTCAATTAGATCGGCCGGAGGGGAGGGGCGGCCGGAAAATCGGCCGCGATGCTAAATTTTGCCTTTTGGAAGTACAGTGTCCAGGCACACCAAACGGCTTCTCCCCGGAGAGAAGCCGCTAGCTAAGCTGTGGCCTGGGAGCTGAATTTATCCTTCGTGCCCAGAACGCACTTCACGTGTGTGCCTCAGTTTTTGTGAGAGGAACCCGTTAGAATAAATCCAATAAAATACTGTTTTTAAAGCAAAAAGCAGTTCCAAGCAGTTCCGTTGTTTACTAAGAGGACAGACTTTCACCTTAGCATTTTCTAGTCAACTGGGATGTCTTATTTGAAAGCCATAAGAATTAGCTTTTAAAAGAGGAACCCCATCTCTTTTCAGCAAATCAGTTTTTACTACCAAATCAGTTTTCAGAAAATGGAAGAGACCCTTCCCACAAACAAGCTTTACCAAAGTGTCATTTTTCAGAATTTAAAAAGAAAACATTTGTAGAATTTGTGATGTTTCAAAATGATCAAAAATAAAAGTTGGAATTTAAATTTTTAAATGTTGTTTCCCTCCATAAAATTGTCAAAAAGCAACCATGGATAGAATGAGATTTCCCCCTCACCTGGAGATACAATAAAACATGTTACCAGCTTTATTTGTTTGCTGTCGTTGCAGGTAAAAATAGATCACACAAAGCCATCACTGGGAAAGGGCCCAGAGAAGTGGTGAGAAATATTCTCAAAAGAGTGGGTTTGATAGTACCATTGACAGGAGCTTCCTTATGAGCCTTGGAAATGTTATTTCTCTTATAAAACTGACAAGCAAACAAAGACAGTAATGCTATCAAATTGCAAATGGGTTTTTTTCCTTTAGGTTTATATGAAGTTCAAATAGGGAAATAAAGGCATGAGTGCAAACCCATCAAAAAATTAAATAAGCAACAGTAACAAAAGCCACATCTGTATTTGAAGAGGATGAGTTCTTTCATAATTTTGTTTTAAAGCCTTGAAACATTTTAAACCATCCACAAAAGGTCGGTGGAGAACCATGCCATGCTTTATAAAGAAAGCATCACATTGGGAATTATCACTACTGTCTTCATTTCCTCTTAAAACATTTCAAATGAGTGGCCTTTATTTGAATTTCTTGGCAGTGAGCATCTATATTTGCAGTAATGGCAGCTTTGAGTTCAATCATGCAGGTTATAAGTAAAAACAAAACAAAAAAAAAAGGGGATGAATAAGGAAGAAAATAAATACAACCTAGGCTATAATATGGACTGTAGAGCATTTTTATTGTGCAATAAAATGAGTACCTCCACCTCCTTCAAAATAGCTTTTCGTCAAAATTATAACTGCTTTGTTTTATTGAATTGCTGAAATTTAATGGTTTAATGGGTGGAGGCATGAAGGAAAGGCTGTAAAAATGTGAATAATGCTGCAGTACAGCCGTGCGGAATCTGGAACCCGCCTCCTTGTACAACTCTTGTTAAACACAGCGTGATATGTATCTGCCATCGATTTAATATGTCTTAATTCAAATATAGCTCCCTGATCAATTTCTTTTTATGGAAGCCTTAAAAAAGAAAATACTTTTAAGGAAATAACAGAGATTTGGGTAGTCACTGGGAAAAGGGATATTTACAAAGTGAGTTTAATGAATATTTGCAGATTTATGACCAAACTCAGACCCTAAAAAAGATCATTGACTCAAGTAGATCGACTTGAGATGCTAATTCTTAAAAGAAAGGACTGGAAGCAAAATTTCAATCAACACCAATAAGGCGCCAATAAACCTCCTGCCAATTAAACCTGAGAATAGGCCTAGCTAGATGGTTGTCAGGAAGGCTCGTAGTGGATTTCCGGGATTGCCTTTCTTTATAAAAGAGCTTTTTATTTTGTAGACGCGCTTTTTGTTATTGTGATGACCTGCCTGACCCCAGGTGCGCTGTTTCTTTTTCAAGCTTTTTGGGAAGCAAATCAAACCCCCTTAACTGCTGAGTTTCTAAAGGCCCAATAACTGTCAGAGCCAGGGATTTAGCTCAGTGGCTCTAACACTTGCTTGCTAAGTGTAAGGTCATGAGTTTGATCCCCGGTCCAAAAAAAAAAAAAAAAAAAAAACACCAGAAAAATACAAAACTGTGTCACACTTCCTAATAGACACCAACAATTTCCAGGGCATTGAAGAACATAATATATTTGTTTAAAAAGCAGGGGGCTATAAACATCCAAATGCCAGTTCTCTTTCTGTTGATTTAACCCAAATTTTGATGGTGATGCTGGTTATCAGGACAATGACCCAGGCTCATGCCCTTATTTGTGCTTTTTGCAGCGGAGGTGCTTGTACCGAGGCAGCGACGTGGCAAGCCACAGAAATGCCCTTTTTAGAGTAGATGGATGCAGGCTTTTGGAGCTGTTGATTTTTAGACCTCTGGGTTGCACCTGGAACTCCAGCCTCCTTCCAGTCCTAAACAAAGAGAGACTGAGGAGGTGAAAGTCCAGCTGGCTGGTACCCGGCAGCCACGCTGCATCTCTGTTGCCTGGAGGCCGAGAGGGACTGGTCTCTGGGGATGCTTGGGCACTAGGCTTCCAGCTGTGTGGAGGGAAGACAGCAGCTCCCTGGCTCCATGATGCTCTCAGTCCCTCACTGAACACAGCCAAGTTTCCTGCGATGAGTGTGGGCAAATAATAAACTCTAAGGGAAGTGAATTGGACATTTCCTGGCTTTTGAGCCTTTGTTTGATTGTTTCTGCAGGCAGGGAGAGAGGGGTATTTGGGGAGTGTGGAGTGGACAATAAAGGAGGTGGGGGACCCACCTAGTTGCCTTTTATTGCCCCTGCAATTGCCTTACAACTCTGGCCCTCGTGTATTTTTTGAGAGAGCAGCCTCCTTGCAGAAAGCCTGGGTTCTTGGTGAGTTTGGGACAGTGGGGGTAATTTTGGCTGTGCTGGAGGTGGGTTCAAGGGTGAGCAGGACACTCAGAATTACCAGATGAGGCCAAGGACCTGTAAAGCCCAACCCAATGGAGCCAAACAGTGCTTAGGGCCAGGGAGGCAGATTGCTGGCAGACTCCGGGGTAGTGGTGGTCTAAGCAGATATCTCTGTAAGAGGGGACTAGCTGGCAAAGAGGTAGGCAAAGCGGCATTTCAGTGGGACTTTGTCAGGGCCAAAAGTAATGGGAATTTCGGGTTCAAGAGTTTTCCTCAAATCATATTCACCAGGAGTCTAGGTTGCTCAGTCTGGAACAACCTCTCCTAGCCTTACCCACCCTATTCCCCTATTTGAATTGGGCAGGGACTTCCTACCCTACCACCTTCACTGTGTGAGATCTGCCTTACAGTGGGGGCTGCTCTGGACCAAAGGGGACTTATTACTCTTAAATGGCCTGCAGTTCACAGATCTCTGAGTGCTTCTCCAAGGATTGTTTCTCTTTCTCACCCTTCTGAGCTCCTGCTGAGTCCTCCAGGTATAAGTAGGGGCTGGCTAAGTGCATCCAAAAATGTACTGTTGCTAAAGTTTATGATCTCTGTGACACGTGCAGAACATAATGAAGATAAGGTAGAAGTCAGGACTGAAATGTGGGATTCCAATGGATTTTTATGTTGTTGTTTGGAGAGTCTACAATTGGACCCTACCCCATGTCAACTTGACTCTTTATGGTTAAAAGCTGTTGAAAATTTGTCACCCTCTCTCCCTCTCCACTACTAAAGAATATATTGTATAAAATTGGCCTGTCATCATATTCCCACTTGGTTATCAATCATTTTTATTCTCAGAGATAGAAGTTGTTGGAGAAAGGCCTTTAACCTGCATTTGATCATCAGGACTGGTAATTTCATGAGAAACAACACATCACTGTGCTCTCAAAAATGCTCAGAAGTTCAAAACAACCATACATCACCTTTAAGTATTTAAGGTTCATATAACCACCTAATATTTATTTTTATTAGCCTCAAGAAGTTCTTTTCCCTACAAAACTTATCCTTTAGGGTATTTTAAAATACAAGGTAAGGGAGGAACAAGCAGGATATGCAGTTTTTTAAAATATCAAATTTGGTGGGAGAAGTTTCCCTACTCTACATCTCTTTCAGTATCTATACTTTAATATTTGAAGAAGCTGTTGGGATAAATCAAATAGTGACACGTTGATGGATTCACTTGTGTAAGCAATATGGTTGACATATGGCATTGTTATTTATGAATGACAGCATAAATTGTATTACAAAGTCCATTGCAATAATACTGCAGTTTATTGGAAAGCTGTTCGCCTGTCATCGGTGTTCAGCCTCCTTGGATGTAGTTCGCCTGGGAGCCCAAAGGATAACGGTTCTCAGAATAATTAAACAGGTTCATTTAAGCTAATGTCTCCTGATTTGTTTATTTATTTGT